CAAGCAGAAATGGGAGTGAGACAAAACATTTAACTTACATTTCACAAACTTAAACTGGGACAGGCTGTTTTACAGCTGATCAAATGTTTAGGACCACTTGCCTTTAAAAGGCCAAATCTGTGCAAAACTGTGGATTCATTGTCATTTTCTGTCAGATAGTCAGACTGTCAGGATGTTCTGATGGCAAAAGCAAAGAAAAATTTCCTTTTTGAACATGGTCGACTTGTTGAACTGCATAAGTAGGGTCGCTCACAGCGCGCCATCGCTGCTGAGGTGGGATGCATTTAAGACGGTCATTTCCTAACTACGGTAATCCCGGGGGTTATGGAACAAAAACGTGAAGTGGAAGACCTAAAAAATCCTCAACCCAAATTAAGGCCATTAGTGGTGAAGAGCTTCAAAAAAAAATTCTCTGATGAGAAAAAAATATAACCTTTTTTTTTCTCCTGTAAAAAAATGCAACCTTGATGGTCCTGATGGCTTCCAACCTTACTGGCATGACAAGCACATCCCACCTGAGATGTTTTCTACGCCCTACAGACGAGGGGGTGCCACAATGGTTGGGGAGATGCTTTTTCCTTCAGTGGAACAATGGAGCTTCAGGAGGTGCAGGAGTGTCCAAAGGCTGCTGGCTATGTCCAGATGATACAGAGAGCATTCCTCATGACTGAGGGCCCTCATCTGTGTGGTAACGACTGGGTGTTTCAACAGGACAACGCTACGGTACACAATGCCCGTAGGACAAGGGACTTCTTCCAGGAGAATAACATCACTCTTTTGGACCATCCTGCGTCTTTCCCTGATCTAAATCCAACTGAGAATGGACAACAGTTCCAGACAGTAGACACCCTTCGTGTGGCCGTCTTCACCACTTGGAGAAATGTTCCCACTCACCTCATGGAAACGCTTGCATGAAGTGATCAACAATAACAGCGGACCAATTAATTATTGAGTTCACGTTTGGAACTTTCTGTTTTGGGGGTTTACCCATGTTTTTTGGAGGTGTGGTCCTAAACTTTTGATCAGCTGTAAAACAGCCTGTTTCAGTTTAAGCGTTGTTTTTAATAAATTGCATGCTCAAAAAATGTTTTGCCTTACTCCTATTTCTTCTTGTTGCATGCATGTTGAAGCTTTACTTGGAACCTTGTTAAGATCCAACCATGCAAAATATGATTTTTTGCCATTTTTCAAATGATCTAAAACTTTTGATCAGGACTGCTGTTATTTTTAGGTTGTACAATTTGTTTTCGTCAGCCACATACATCACAGTGGACCAACACGTGCAGCCTGTGTTCAGACAAGTTATGAGCAATAAAAAAAAAGTAGCTTATATGTAACCTCCTTTATTTGTTGATGAAAAGAAATAAACTGAAATGAAGTTATCATGATGCATTGGGAAAAATATATATTTTTCGGGGCAAAATGTCTTTAGTTTTCTAATAAAATCTCTGTTACTGAGCCTCACAGGTCCTTTTCTTCTGCTGTTGTGCATCACATGCCAGCAGTGCCTTCGCACATGCGCGATTTATTTGCAGTCTGGATGCAGTGGGGTAAAAGTCATCTGTTCCATCTTCCACTCTGTCACCAATTATGAGAGGCAACAGCCTTAAAAAGTTCCAGTTTTGTTTGTGCTGAGAATTTGTTGAGGACTGACCTCACACGGCTTTGAAGAGGTACCAGAGTCAGAGTATTTAAACTGTTTAATGCTCCAATTCAGAATGGAGTAGGCGAACCATTCTTTTTCTTCACAAAAAAATTTAAGAAACAGCACAACATCATATGACAAAATGCCATAAAAATCTTGTGTCCTAATCAAAATGGCAAACCTGGCTGACAGATGTGAAAATATTTTAAACAGTTGAAAACTGACTCAAACTTTACTCCTCCTATATCTGGTGTACCTTCAGTCTTGAGGTGTTCAGCAGGAGAGTTGTACATCTCTGTGGTGCATTCTGCTCCGCACTGATTTGGACCACCCTGAAAAACAGATTGCATCATTAAACAATATCTACAGAAATGATGTGTACGACTAAAGCAGAAGCCACCAGTGCAATGTGAGCCCAAATTATCTACAGCATACAAAACATGGTCCCTTTAACTACAGTTTTATCTATTTATTTCCATAACCTAAAGGATTAACAACTTCAAAGGCATCTTGGTATAGCAGTAGTTTGAAACATAATGGATTTTGGTTTAAAAAAAAAAAAAAAGAACTACTTTGAATATCCTACCATCACTAATGTCACACAGTACATCTGATGAAGATTCAGCTGACTGCTCACCTGTTACACATATCTGGATCCCTCGACCGCCTCACAAAGCTTGGAAATACCCTCATCAGATAATGTTGTTTCAGTTTTAAGACATGTAGTGAACTTATTCAGAGTATATGACTGACCCAACTCATATATTTTTTTAAAATTTCCTCATCGATCTTTTATTCTAATAAACCCGAATTACGGGAACACCTTTAGATCTGTTCAGTTTTATTTATTTTATTTTTATTTTATTTTCATTTAGCACCGCTTAACTGTCAAAAACTCATCTCTATTGCTTCAAATTGCAAGGTAGAGGTCCTACAGTGTTAATCTAGGATAAATGTTGTCTCGGCTTCATTGATGACATAAATGCCATTTGGTATTTGGCCAGAAGTGACTCTAGACATGATTCGACAGACAAGAATTTAAACCACAACTTAACAATTTGGCTGATGCAAAGAACCACGAGGCAGTGATTCCAGCTTAAATGTATTCTGGATATTGTTAAATATTCTTACATTTTTTGTTAATGTTTGCCAGGTATCCTGTTTAATATTCCCTTTTCCCCTGTGTGTTTTGTTCAGTTTTGGTTCCCCTGTCTCTTTAATCTGTGATTAGTTTCAGCTGTCTTCCCACCTGTTGTTCCATTGCCAGCTACATCTGTGTCAGTCTCCCTTTATCCTTTGTTGTGTGTTTTGAGGCCTATGTTCACCTCCAAAACCCAATAGAGAAGCCTCTGTTTCACAACCAGTAGATTAGAAGCTTTTATACGGTATTTAATTTTTAAATGAACAATTTTATTCTGAATAAACATGAAAAAGATTATTGTTTCATTGTATTTAAGTAACTATCATGGTCCTGAGTCTGCACACGCAGTGGTTTTGTTTTGATTATTTTTCTCGTGTTCTAGTTTTATTCTGATTTTGTATTCTGTCTGGAAACTTCCTGTTTTATTTTGTAGATCCGTGTGTGACTTAACTGTGTTTAGCTTGTGTTTCCCCGTCATCTTGTGATTAGGATCAGCTGTGCTTCCCCCCTCTGTGTCATTTCCTAATTACCTTGTGTGTGTGTGTGTGTGTGTGTGTGTGTGTGTGTGTGTATAGCCTGGGTGTCGGTCTGTGCTCATCGCCGGTTCGTCTGTGTTATTTTAGTGTTTCTCCGTGTCTCTCTGTTTTCTGTTTCTCGCCTCATGTCTTCCCTTTGTGTTATGTTTTTAGGTCAGCTTACTGGCTTTCCCAGTTCAGTTTACTTTGTAATTCTCATCACTGCTTTGTGTCTGCAACTTGAGTCCTCCTTCTGCAAACAGCTTTCCCAGCCGTGACAAACTCCTTAAAACGCATATATTTGTATATGAAAAAAAAAAATAGCCTCCTGAGATTCGACGCCCTCAAAAATAATACATTTGGACTTTTCTTCACCATATTCACTCAATAACATTTTAATTAATTTAGGGTTTTTTGTTTGCATTTTATTAAACAATAAAGGTTTCATTGTTTGCATGTTTTTTAAACACATGTATTTAACAAAGTAACAAGTTCCTGTTCAAAAATAAAGATTCATTTTTAGCATAATGAAGACAGCTGCACTCTGCAGCCTGGCGTGGGCTGAAACACAATGCTAGGTTACTGTTGTTATTTAATGGTCCATTTGGTGCCAAATTCAGGATGTAGAAGTTACAGCTTCAACCACTAGTAAAGCTTTCACTTGCTCCTAGCAAGTTTCTAAAACTTTGTGCCTTTCCCCCCCCTATTCCCTTGATTATGAGCCTTTACTACGTGTTTACAGTAATCTAAAAAAACTCATTTCTAAGCTGTTTAGAGACTACCTACACTACATGTATATTTGAACTGAAACCTGTTTCAAAGATGGATTTTCCTCCTTAAATCTTCATATAAACTGAAACTTGTGTTGACTAGTAAATTTAAACGATTAACTAAATTTCCTTCTCAGCTTGCTGTCTCATATCTGCTGGCATCTAGACCTCAGCGCTGCACTTGCCCACAGTCATTCAGAAATTGGCCAATTCTTGTGTGGAAATCCATAAATCTCTGACATAATGAATGAATCAATCCTTGTTTCTCTATCACTGGTGAATTCTTGAATAAGTGCATTTATTTCATGATTTTTTCAGCATTATAATGGCTGTGAATGCTCCATATTTTCTAGAAGGAGTAAAGCTTACATATAACACCAGTTAGTAATCATTACAGTGGAAATGCAGTCAATTTTCTTTTTTCTAAATAACTCCAGTATTGATCCAGTATTGACCCATTAAATTCTTTATATATTAACACTTCAACGGTGCAGCGACTGGTAGCTCTATCTGTTAGCATTAGCATTTGCTCATAAACATACACTTGCTTCCATCAAACTGATGGATTGTCACAATTTCAATTAAGAAGATCAAATTACATTTTTATGAAACTTCCTCTGCACACGTATCATACTTTGCTTGTGACAGTCATGTGTTGAATTTTGTAAATGTGGGAGATTGTACTAATAAATAACATTGGATGAATTAAATTACAGCACACTATAACTGTAGGTTTTGCTTAGGATTGTAACCCGAGTGATGCATAAATTGTTAACGACACAAGACACACAACCTGAGGGGTAGAATTACCCGGGGCATAGTACAGGCCCCTTTCATTTCACAGGCCCTGTTCTTACCAGGCACATCACAGCCTGATGTTTGTGAGTGGGAACCGTTTCAATAAGGACAAGTTTTAAAGACAGGCCGTAATGTCGATACCGTCATTTGAGTCCCTCTGCTTAAAAGACGATGACAACTGTCCATCCCCAACTGATCTCGACAGCTTTGGCGATGAGTTTGACAAAGACTTGGAATCAGATGGTGAGCATATTAAATTCAATCATGGAATAATCCTTGAGGTTCTTGTTTAAATACTAAGTAATTTAGTAGTCATTACTATAAATCTATACATTGGTTATATTAATTTATGACTTTTATAATATGCAGGAAATAAGATCAACAAGGAGATGGACACTGCTGAGGTGTACATGCAGGCCTGCAAGCTGGTAGGTGTGGTGCCGGTCTCTTACTTTATTCGAAACCTTGACTCTCCAGCTGTGACACTCTCCCACCATGGGCTCGGACCTTTGGGATGCAAGGCACTTGCTATTGCTTTAGTGGTATGTTTAAAATCTAAGAGCTGTTAATCAATGAGGCACTTTTAAATAGAAAACTGATGATCAGGTTTTATTTAGACTGATACACAAATAAGCGCCCTGGCACTGGCAGACAATTCAATTCAAGCTGAGGGAGCCAAATACCTCATGGAGACGTTGAGGGCTAATTTCACCATTCAGCACCTGGTATGTAAGACTGCAGGTTGACCACTGGAGGGCACAAGTGTATTTCAGGTCTAAATCTGAGAGCTCTACATCAAGTTTGGTTTTAATAATACATTTTTTGCAGGATATATCCCACAACCATCTGAAATCTGCTGGGGCTGAGTATGTGGCTAAAATGTTGCTGGACAGCATTTCGTTAAAATCTGTGAAGCTTTCAGGTAATATGCACGTGACAATGCATTTAACTTGTCAGATGTTACGTGACAGATGACTGGCATCACAAACAGTCAGCTTACATTTGTTGTGTCGGGGTTGCCTTTTTCCTGACAGGTTAGTCGAGGTTAGTTTCTGATTGGTTTGTCTATTTAACAGCGATAATTATTGTGATCTTTTTTTTTCATGATTGTTTTGAATGCATTTTCTTCCCTGCAGGGAATGGATTTACTGATGATGATGCTAAATATTTTGCAGATGCTCTGTCAGTAAGTTATCAGTTATGTCCTGCTTTTTCACACATAACAACCCATTTTAGTCATTTCTATATTCATAAATTGTTCTTTTGCTACTTGCACCTGTCACATATTGTTACATTCAGACCAATTCCAGGATAAAGGTACTGGATCTGAGCCATAATGAGTTTTGTGGAAAAGGAGGGGAGCATTTGGGACAGCTGCTGGGTATGGTAAAAGGTCTTAATAGGTCTAAGACTAGTTCTTAATAGCATTATAGATGTATTCTTTCACTGACTTGGCTTTCTTATTTCTACAGCAAACAATGAGGGCCTGGAGGTGCTGGACCTCAGCTGGAATCATCTAAGAATGAAAGGGGCTGTGGCTTTTTGCGCTGGGTTAAAAGTAGGGCTGATTAACAAAATTTGTTAGTTACTCTGTGTGCAGCATTTCATCACAGTCTTCCCATTTAGGTGAATATGATGTTAAAGCACCTTGACTTATCGTGGAACGGTTTTGGGAACGAAGGTGCTCTGGCAATGGGAGAAGCCCTCAAATTCAACACCACCCTGGTGCATCTCAACCTCAACAATAACCGCCTGACCAATGAAGGCGCCAGCATGCTGTGCAGGGGTCTTGAATTCAATGACACACTCAGAGTCCTGACGGTGGGTGGATGAAATTGCATTAGGGTAACGTATATCACAGTCATGGCTTCAAGTGAAATATCGGATAATGTCTTCTATTTCTTTAGTTGGCTTATAACTCTTTGACAGTAGAGGGCGCACTGGCTCTAGTCAACGTGGTGAAGAACTCACCTAAAACTGCCTTGGAGGAGATCAACATATGTGTGAGTGGCTGTGCATCCTGCTCTGCTCCATGTCATGACAGATTACCACAGGCTGTAGGGACAGTGCATCCACAAATCAAATTTACATATTGTTCTGCTGGCCTGTAGTCGGATTTATCCATGTGAATTGTTCTGGTGCAAATGTCCCAGTTCTTGAGTTATTGGTTGTAGAGATGTGTCTACATTTAATAGAAATTGACTTGTGATGCTCAAAGCACTCAAATAATACATCTGAAAAACCCACAGTTATGTTTCTTTCCGCAGATCAAGACCCAATTAGAGCCGAGCAATTCTTGAGCAATTCAGAGCAATTCTTGCACGACGTCCTTTTTTCTTTCTACCAAACGACATAATCTAATGTAGACATGCAGCTGGTTGATATTACACCATAGCAGAAAGCATTATCAGCGTTTACATCCTGCCAAGCTGTCACAATCACCAGGTTCTCGTCATGGGTAAATGCACACTTCCTTCTGTACAGTTATGCAGTCAGCAGGTGTTGTTTTATGGAGAAAAAATAGTAATGATGAAACTGCTCACAACCAGGTCATTTCTGGAAATATTCAGTGCCACTGAAACTGAGCAACTCTCATCTAAAAAGTCTATACAGAGAAACTGCACTACAGGCCAGATTTAAACATATGTAATTATAAGGGGAACTTTCTCTTTAAGCAACTCCTTTTTGCTCTGATTTCAGTTCAATTTTGTGTTCATATTAAGTCAAAGTTGTAATTTTTTCCTTTTTTTTTGACATAGGAAGCAAAATGTGTGTGTGTGTATATCATGTTGTCTTTTATCTGAACAGAATGTGCTGGTAAATGAGCACTTTGTGCATCTATTGGAGGTGACGTGTCAGGAGCATCCTGGTCTGGATGTACAGTATGGAGGCGTAGGAGGCTTCATGGCTAAGAAGCCACCAAAACGTGTTGATCCAATGAAAGTCATTCAGGTCTGTCTCAGTTGGTCGAATGAGCATCTGACACATACTGCATGAATTTTATTGTGAAAATATACACAATATATCTTTATTTTTATTCTTTCTTTCTTTATTCAGAGTATATTTGCTGTTCTGATGTTTACTTATTTTGTTGGTCTGCATTTAATTATTGTCAAAATCACTTCTACCAATGCTTCTGAAGGATTATCTGGACCAACGGAAACTGCGGCTGTGGGATTTCTTTCGAAACATCGATAAAGATGGCATCATGAGAGTGTCTGTTACTGACTTCAGGAAAGCAGTTCAGGTTTTCCAAACAAACTGTGATACTGTATATGGAGCCGTGTAGAGTCAGTGCATTTCACTGAGAGTTTACTGTGATAAAGAGAGCAACTATGAAACTGATTCCCTTTTCCTCTTTTGTGTGAAACTGTAAGCAATCAAGCATTCCCTTGGACCGATACCAGATTGAGGAGCTGATTCAGAGACTTGATCGGGACAGGACAGGAATGGTGGACTACAGGTGAGCATTTCCCATACTGACTAAATATACTCACATCTGACGCTTCAATATTTACGTCACAAGGTGGAGCTTTGGCGTGTTAAAGCTTATCATTTTAACATTTTGATTGTTTTTATCTCTCGTTTACTGATAGTACAGCTGGGCATAGAGTGTCTTAGTTATGACCTGGGAATTTGCCCAGATCTTAAGTTCAACTGACCCTATCAAAACTAAGAGTAGCTGAAAACCTCTTCAAGCCTGAAAAGTTCACTCACTTGCGGCAGAAGTCTATTTGACTGGTATATTAGGATATTGGGTTGTCTCTCGCACTGGTAAAAGCTTTTTCCAAATATTCACAGATCTACTGTATATATAATTTACTACAGAAGTTGTTTTTTCTTTTTTGCAAATCTGCCTGAAAAGAAATCTGATCACATTTTTTAAGTAATCCTACTAACAGACAAACAGACAGACACACCAAACTAATCGCAGAAGCTCCACTGAAGTAGTGATAGTGTTATATATGTATAGTTATGTATAGCACAGAGAGAATCATAAGCTAAGAATAACTTGTATGGGAACTTTTCTTCCACAGTTTGGATAAAAACACATGTTAAAGAAGTCCACGTAGCTCAACATGCAAACAGATGGTAAACCATGTGGTCTATACATTCATATTTTTATATAGGTGTTTTATAAACTACATGAAAAGTAATGATCATAGGTTTAAGAAAAAGCTAACCCTTTTCCGCAGTTGTTTAAAGCAGACCACAGATTCAGCCATTCTGACAGGCTGAGGGAGGTTGCACCAACGTTTAGAAGCTACAGTCTCAAAAACATGATCGCCTCTAGATTTAAATATGAGCATAAAATATATAAATATGACAATTATAAGACCCTGATCATATGATCAGGGAGGTTACTGCTGGAATAAGGTTAAAGCAGATCCTCATGCATACAGAAGCCTGGGTATGATGGGCTTTATACTGTATGTAATTCATCTGGGGTACAGTGAACGTGCAAAAATTCCACACACAGGTGGGTTCAAACTAGGACCATCATGCAGTGTTAACCACTGCCTCATTGTTCTGCCACACTGCACATAGATAAATACTAACATTTTGAAATTAACTCTAACTCAGCCAGTGGAATGAGAAGCTGTCAGGTCCGAACACAAGAACCTCAGTTGTCGAGATTGAAATTGAGAGAATATTAAGGACACCCAAGCAGTAATTGTAGTGACGTTGTTAGTGAGGTAGGAGAGGCTGTTCAAGTTGTTAGGCTTCACAGAAAAGTGCAGTTGTGGAGAGACAGGTAGATAATTGGTTGGCGTATGAATCTAAAAGCAGTCAGTGATGTTTATACTATAATCTGACCATTCTGTGCAGGGGACTGGCAGATACAAGGAAACAAATGATGAGGGATCACCGCCGCCAGCTTAGGAAATTTGAGTCCCGTCAGAAGAAAGAGAAGCAGAAGAGTGACCGCATTCTCAAAACCTTCCAAAGTGCTGTGGAGGCGGTGACACCTCACAGCTCCATAGTCATGTCTCCAGGAGGTGCCAAAGAAGACTCGAGTGGCCCTCAACACTTTTCCGCCACCCCTCTCAGCTCTTGGCACCACATTGTCATGTCCAACAGCAGCCGCTACTCTGTCACTAACATGAGCAACATCCACCTGCCCATGTTAAGAGGCGCCACGCCTTACCGTCCCACCAGCTCCTCCGGGATGCGTTCGTACTCCCAGCCAAACCTGTCGGCCGATTCCCCTCGCTCTGCTCCAGACAAGTCCATCTCTGCTCAGGGCGTTCGCTCAGATCCAGAGATGAGCCACAGCAAGCTAAGCCCCACTGCTAACAGCCTGACGAGATCCAGGCCCGCTCTCAATGTAAAGCAGTCAGAGGGTAAAAGTAAAGTCAAAGCCAAGAAAATGAAGAAAAAGAAACCGAAGAAGAATGCAGACAAAGCTTCAAAGAACCCTGCAGTAACGGTCAAGTGACATGAACACTGTATAATGCTGTATTACGTGATATATTATACATGTGATTTGTTTTTCCCTTGGTTATTATGTCATGCAATATTTTTAAATGAATAAATAACACATTTGATTATCAATCTTATCTAAAAATCTATATTTATTGCTTTAATAAGTTATCAGCGGTCATGTCTTCGCCACCTTGCAGTTAACGACACTGAGTGGGATGGGCCTTCTTCAGAAACATAATATTTCATCATGGTATTCGGGAATGGTGTTCTCATGCGAGCCCACACTCTTGAGGATAATTGTAAACAAACATCTGACGTTAATTTCTGTTTGCTGTAGATAAGAACGAGCATTATATCCTGGCATGTTCCTCAACTAATAATTCTGTGAACTGAGACAGGTGCTGTGTCCTCTGATATGATGGAGGAGGATCTATAAATTCAAATGATCCACCTATCTCAGTCATAACCACTCTGACTGCAGCAGAATGATCGTCACTCTGTATTTCTCAGCACTGCTGAGCTCCACGGTTGCCTGGGAGGTACGCATGGCATGAGGTAGATCAAGCGATTCATCTTTATTCTTTAAAGCTCCGTACACATTTAGGTGAGACGACTTCTTCCATCTAACTCTTTTTTAGGGAGTGAGGAGCGTGTGGAGTGAAGGGAATCCAAGAAATGAGTCCGGAGGTGGAGGTGGTGAAAGGTGCTCCTGTGACGCCTTCCTGCCCGGTTCAACTTTTCCTGTAGGTGATCTGGTGGTGATAGAGCAGACAGCAGTGGAGATCTCACATGAACTGGAGCTGGAAATGGGCAAGGTATTTAGTCACAAGGGAACGTGTGCATTAAAAGATTGCATAATTGTGACAAAAAACATTTTTGAATGTTTTTTTTCCCAATTAAATTTCAGCTGGGGGAATATGAAATCAAAGTGACAGAATATGAAGAAAAGATCGTAAAACTCACAGCAAAAATTGAAAAAATGGAGGAGAATCCTGATGGCTACAGTGAAAGTGAACGGAATGAGATAAAGATTGAGATTAAACAAGTGGAGGCCTTGATTGTAGACCTGCAGCTCTCCATCAACGGCTCCACTGCTGTCCTTAAATCCCTGCGTGTACAGGTATGTCCCGAGCTGAAGGTGTTTTAAAAGCCAGCAGAAGCAGTGGAGATCCATTGTGTTATCTTTCAGATTACAGTCATGGTGGAGACCCTGAACAGGCTGGAAAAGACCTACGACAAGAATTTAATTCTGGTGACACGCCGAGAATACCTTAAGGTGCAGCTGCAACTAGAGGAGTGTGAGAGACGTCACCAGGAGCTTTTCTACCCCAACATTGGTAAGCTCACTTATACCGTCATTCCAGTTGTAATCCCTGTTTTTGTGATTACAACCTAATTTTCGTCTCCTTCTGCAGGTTCATGTGCACACACTGGTATCACCAAGCTCAGCAAACCCATAGTAAGCCAACTGAATGCCCATCTAAATGCTGGCTACAAATTTGGTGGATGGGGGAAAGATTCAAAACCTATTCCAGACAGAGAGTCCATGTACTGGTACTCTGGGTATACAAGTGCCTCCATTATTGACATCAGGTTCTACACTAACTACAAGAACCTCATTTTAAGAAACCACTTTCAGCATCACAGCTTACAAACCAGCTGGCGTGGCACAGGAACCAATTTTATCTTCCGTGACAACACTCTGTATTATCAGATCAACAGCCCGTTTGGGTTAGCGAAACTGAATTTCACCACAATGGCATATGAGTCCAGGGTGATCCCCAAGGCTAGTTCAGGCTTCTCTTATGCATACTTTTCCAGTCAGAACTTTGACTTTGCTGCCGATGAGACGGGGCTGTGGGTGACCTATGCCACACAGCAGTCTGCCGGTCGGATGGTCATTGCTAAAATAAATGAGGCGTCTTTTGGGATAGAGGAGAAAATGGAGACTAGTATCTACAAGCCGGGTGTGAGCAATGCCTTCATGGTTTGTGGCACTTTGTATGCGGTCAGGACAATCGATACCATCACTGAAGAGATATTTTACAAGTACGACACTAAAACCAAAGAGGAAACTTACATCAGTATTCCCTTTGAGAGGTTCCAAGAGAAGTACTCAAACCTGCACTACAATCCCGCTGACCAGAAGCTCTACATGTACAATGATGGCTACTATGTCCAGTATCACCTGTGGTTTAACCACACAGCTGTGGCTACGACCACCACGGCGCCACAAGTTCTTTTAACCTAAATTGAAGATCTGATATTTTCTGAAGTATCACATCATATGAATGAGCCAACTATTGTCTCATCTTGTCGAGTAATGACCTCCTAATCCTTCTTGATTGTTAATAAATGATTTCAAGCATCACACAAGTGTCATGAGTGTCTTTTTTTGTGAACTTTGAAAACTAAAACAGAATTAAAATAAAAATGGTTCTTAATTGTACCTTCAAACACTTCTATTCTACTGTAGAGGTAATATCTGTTGTTTTAGTTAGTTTGCTAACTATTAATACAATATTTGTAATTATTATAACTTCCCTGACAAATCATTGATAGGCATGTCTACAAGAGTGTGAGTCCACGGTTTCAAAACCTATATTTTTATTGTAACACCTGTACTCATTTTCCTCAATCTTGCCTCAGATGTTTGCCCTCTATTCAGTAAAATTTAAAAAGATTAAAAACAAACAAACAAAAAAAAACTAACACTGAAACTGATCCAAACTCAACTAAACATTTTCCCACAATAAAAATGAAACTCAAATGTGGAAATCCACCCTGGAAATTGAAATTATGCAGAATTAGAAACAAAATGTCAAAATGAAATAAAAATAAAACTTCCTTGAACATACAAAACTATAACATCTGTGTTGACTGCAGTCATAAATGATCTAACTGAACCACTGTATGCATGTCTGCATTTAAAGTGCAATGGAATAATCATCCTGTATGTGCAGTAACTTGACTAAAAACTGCTACAGTCAGAGAATACATCCTACCCCATTTCCAATGATGATTCCTACACGGACTCCTCTCCCACGCCTCATCCCCAATTTGCAAACCCAGCTCCTCCCATGCATTCTTCACAAAGTCAGATTTAGAATTCAAATACTCTGGAAAAACATTCACAAAACCAGAAACCAACTTGTTAGAGTTCGGGGAGCCCAGAAGGAGCTTAAAAATTGGTCCCCCCTTCTGGAAGAGATGGAAAGTTTAAAATACTCTGACGAACATAGTTTCTTATCTGTAAATATCGAAAAAATGTGACTCAGGGAGAGAGAACTTATTCTGCAATTGGGTAAATGAGACACCCAACACAGGGTTCTATTCCTGCATATAACAAACGTGATCCCACCTTGCACTGAACTTTATCGTGTTTACAAAATAAACTAGAGGGCATTCTTAGGCATATATGGGATGGAGACATTCAGACTTGATACCACATAAATAATAAAAAAAGATCAATATTTCTCACACCTGGTATTGTTTCACCTCTTGAGTCTTTGTGCAAGTCCATGTTTGTATCTCATCATGAAATCAAGTCGTCTCAAAACTTTACAGGTGTGAACGCCAAGTCTGAAGATTGTTCAAGAACTCATTCGAATTGTCATTGCAAGATTGTCCCTCAGTGTTTTTCAGTTTTTCTAATATGACAAATAGCAGGGTGTTTTTTTTTTTGTGAAAACATATTTAAGAGTTCAAAAATATGTGAAATAAACAAACAAACAAACAAATAAATAAATAAATAAAAGCCCCATAAATATGTTTGTGTGTCAAAGCAAGAAAGGCAGAAATCATTTAGTTCATATAGTGAACTAGTTCACAGGTGAGGTGCTACCACACACTAACAGGCAAAATCTCCCATAGCTGTTCAACCAAAAAGACCTTAATGAGGGCAAACATTTGAAATTGTTACAAAAAAAATAAACTAAATCCAAAGTGCTTCAGTTACTGGAAATTCTTTCTTTGAGTGACGTGATCATGTCTGATATAGAAAATACTTTTGGTAGACTTGGTACATTTGGTAACTGTAAAGCCCAAATTGACTGATTCACACATACTTCATCTAATGATCCAGTGAGTCCTTCTGCCCTCAGAGGTTTGTGTCATGAGAGCAGTGGCTTTATCACTTGTCTCTGCTCGTTTACAGTCTTCAATTACTGCCTTCTTTATTGATTTTCAATCACTCACAGTCAGCTTTTCACAAGAAAATGCATTCGAGTATCATCTGCCTTTTATTAATACATTTAAACTCTAATGCTATTTAATGAGGAAATCTTTAAACCAGCATTTTGATTCAGATAGGTTTGTCAAACATAGTGATTTTATTGAGCTGAGTCAGCATTTTATTCAAAGTTCACAAACTACGGTGTTCAAAAACTCCACCCAAGTCACTTGCAATTACTGGCATAGATGGAGAAGTATAAATTGCTCCATTTTAATGGACTTGTGACTTCACACTTTTAGGACGATGTCCTAAAAAACCTTTATGACTTACAGCAATCTACTCCTAAAAAAAGTTGTGTTTGCCTTTGTGCAAACAGGACTCGGGATCATAGAATGAATACTTGTCCAAATTGTCAGGTCATAAACATAACAACACAGCAGCAACACATGCTGTGCTTCTCATCCGCACCCCACATTTGTATTAAACGTGACGTGGCGGATTCCTCTGTGCTTGTCATAAGCAAACAAATACAATGCCTGAGTGTATGTTGGACTAAGATAATAAATTTGTGAAAAGAGAAGGTGTTTGAGATGGTCTGATAAGAGCTACCTTTAAAAACACTCTGAGAAAGCCACGGAGAAAACCTTTGAGAGATGAACAGAGACATAATGTTGCCAGCTCTTCTGCTGCTGCTCCTGCCAGCCCTCAGCCCTGTTTTGGCCTGGATTGTAAGTGCCTTTACTTTTCTAATAAAGCATGCAGGCACAGTGATTAGTTATGTCTTTTGAATGTTTTTTTGTTTGTTTGTTTGTTTTATTTTAGCCAGTGGAGGACTGGGAGTCTGGAAATGTAACGGCATCAGTGAGTGAGTCAGGTCAGTGTGTTTGCCATGTTTTTCTGCCTGACACAACCTTCCCTGCTGACCGGGTTGAGCACATGCAAGAAGTCACTAAAGATCTGATGTTGGAAGTGGAAATCCAAATGAACAAGGTGCAGTAGGACTAAATAATTATGTGACATTTGAAAGCATATGCTGTAGTAAGACATTAACATTGCTTTTTTTCACCCTTCCAGATAGTGGGCTTTGAGGCTAAGCTGGCGGTCTACCTGCAGGACCTAACTGAGCTGACAATTAGAGTGAACATACTGGAAAGCAGTCCTGACAAATACATGAAACTGGACTTTGAGCTGCTCAGGATTGAGCTGAGAGAATTTGAGGCTCTGGTATCTCAGCTCAAAAACTCTCTCAACTCCTCCTCACCCATATTTGACAGCCTGTACACTGAGGTAAAAACTGCGTTTGAACTTACATGCAAATGACTTATTTTTAAGAGCACCTAATTTATGTGTCTGTCTTTCTGTGCTTTGTAGATCCACAACATGACCCTCATTGTGAACCAACTGGAGAGTTATGATGAGAGCAACCTGGCGGTGTTCCGCATTGAGCTGGCTAAGCTGCAGAAGAAGCTGGAGGACTGCCAGAAGGAGCAGGAGCTCATCAATCCAGATATTGGTAAGGCCACTGCCTTGGCTGGATTAACGCTGGTGTACGGTTTTGACATTACTAATAATTTTAAACATGCTTATTTTTCTCTTCAGGTAACTGCAATCACACGGGAATCTTGGCCCTCAGCAAGCCAATGGTGCTTCAGCTGAATGCTCATCTGACCCCAGGTTCCATTTATGGGGGCTGGGGAAAAGACTCCAAACCTCTTCGAGGTTCTGAGTCCATGTACTTCTTTGGTGCATACAGCTCCCCTTCAATCAGTGACTTTTACTTGTACTCTAACTATGATAAGCTGATTCTGAGGTCTGCATTCAAACACCATCGCACACCAAACGGGTGGGCAGGGCTTGGGAGCAATTTTATTGTTCACGGTAACAGCCTATACTATCAGCGCAACGCACCTCTCAGTATGGCCAAACTGAACCTGACCAGTTCCACATATGACTACAGAGTGATCTCAGCCGCTAGTTCGAAGTTCTCTTACAGTTACTCAGCCAGTCAGTTCTTAGACTTTGCAGCTGATGAAAATGGAATGTGGGTAATGTATGCTTCAGAGGCAAGCAAAGGGAAAATTGTCATTGCTAAGATAGAAGAAAAATCTTTTGGTGTTGAAGATCAGTGGAATACTGGTGTGTTTAAGGAGATGGTGGGTAATTCTTTCATGGCCTGTGGAGTTATGTATGCCACCAGGTCAGTGGATGTTGCCACAGAGGAGATCTACTACGCATTTGACACGAAGACCAAGGAGGAGAAACACCTCAGTATTCAGTTCCAGAAGTTCCAGGACAAATACACCAACCTGGACTACAACCCCACCGACCAGAAACTCTACATGTACAACAATGGCTATTATGTGTCCTATAATGTGAAATTTGACAAAGAATAATTTTATCTCTCGGTCATCTGCCGTATTGTGATCGATACGAGTCTTCTGTAATCTCTTATGCCCTGTGTTTTCTGTGATGCACTGGCTTTTGGCCATCTTTTCCTGAATAAAATTAAACTGAAGCATTCAAATAAAGTGAACAATTGTCTATGCACATAAATTATATCATTATGAAATTATGCCACACAAATTTAGCTTCAGATTTAAAATAGTTCTAGATAATCAAATGAAACAGGAAAAAATGCATGAATTTGATAAAACAATTCTTACTGTATTCAGATAAACATTTTTGCACACAAGTCCAATAGAAAAACATGAACCAAAATATGACAAATAGGGACACAGTGGTGCACATTTGTCCAGTGTTCACATGTTAAACAGGGGTTTAAATAACTGTGTGCTCTATCTGCGGCTGGGCATTAAGACTCACAATCAGAATTTAACATGCGCATAAAGTTGAGTATAAAATGTGATTTTTACTGCAGATTAATCACTTTAGCTTTCATTGATCAAAGTGAACTAATTGAGCAGTTCTTTCATGTAACTGGAGAGTTTACAGGAGTTTAAAGGAGATAATAAACTGTTTTAAACTGCAGCTGAAGATAAGCTGTTATCATGCGATGCAAATAAACATATACACACATTTCACAGAATTCATACAGGATTTATTTTCTGATACTAAAAACTCAAGTTTCTCACCATAAGTACTAAGATAAAGATTCGCCATAATCCTCTTTTAATTCTGTTTTTTTCATACATCAGATTAAATAAAGAAAACAAACAACAGGAACCCTGTCATGGACCTGTAGTAGTCCAAGGATGGTATGCATAATGCACACATGTGCACTAATCTCAAGGGTCAGTGATGCTGTTCTAATAAAATGTTTATGGCCATGAAATGATGTCACAGATAATAAGAGGAGTATTAGACTACAGATAACAGCAGCTGTCACATCTGAATACGTTAGAAGCTCTTCAAGCAAGAGCACAACTGTGATTGTCATAAATGTTGTCTTACATTGTGCTAAAATCAAAGTTTATCATTCAACTGGGTTATTTTTCTTCAGTTTGAATTAAAACAAAATAAAAATTTGATTTGATTTAATTGTGGATGGGTTAAAAAAAAAACCTCTGTGGTGACTAATACCCCTCCCCTTTTGGATAAGGTTACAGCATTTGATCTTATGCCCCTCTTTCTCCCCCTTCTTCCAGGGACATGCTGGAGTTTCCTCCCACTTCCGTAACCCAATCCCTCCCTTGGGTGGGTGAGGGGGTGGGGGAGGACTTGCCTTTGTGCTCTGGTTGGAGCGTGGCTCCATCTGGTACCAAGTACCCACCAAAACCCAGCAGCTTATCAATTCTAAACAGGAGGAACCTTTCATTAACTGTACATGGTCGACATTAAAAAAATAAAATAATCGATTGTTGTATAAAATGAATAATTTTAAATGCGATTTGTCTGGAGAAATCTGAGGAAAATCCATTATTTTTAATTACATAAATAAATAAATAAATCTGGGCTGAAAATAGCCTTCAGTCAGTCAACACAAATACAGCACTGTCTCTTTAAATCCTCTAGCATCTGTCAGGATGACAGGGGGGAAGTGGTCTCTGTGTGTGGAATGGTACCCTAAAGTGACATCATGCTCAGCCAATCAGCAGCCTCGCCTGAGCTCTCTCCTCCTGTCCTGCTTGTGGGATGATGTGTTCTGGTTGCTAAAGACACGGGCTGCTGCTGCTGCTGCTGCTGATGCTGCTGGGGCGGAGGGTCCAGGCCATGCTCGCCTTGCATCAGGTACACAGCGTGCATTTGTGCGGGTTACACGTGTTTTCTGTGGTGTTAGTGCACTTATGTATCATGATACACTGCTAGCTTACTGGCTATGAGGTGAATGTTGTGAAGATGATGGATTATAATGGAGGAGACTGCAGATGGGTCTGTGTGGCTCACACTTCTCAGATGATGACGCGTCCACGGCTGGATGGGGTGTGTATGGCTCTGATGTTTCAGTGTAGACTGAACTGGAGGGGGGATATAGGATTTTCATATATAGAAGGTTTTCTTTTGAGCCATAGCCTCCGCATGCAGCCTGATAATTCATTCATTTAATGTTATAAATGGCATATTAAAAATTTAATCAAGCCTCTTGTTAGCACATACTTTTGCTCCTTGGAAGTGATCACTGTCATGTGATTTGTGCGAGTCGATTACCCCAGTTTTTATAGCATGTACAGTTGGGAGTCCTTGTGTCTACACCTTTTTCAGGCAAGCCTTTGCGTATTTATCATATTTTAAGGAAAAAACATTGCATTTATGAGACATACAGCTATGAGCCTCAGTGCTCTGAGTCATCTCTCTGTCATCTTGGACATTTTCTGCTCTGCTTCTTTCCATTCATCACAAATAGAAGAGCAAAGCCTGCACTCACTTCCTGTTCTGCTCTGACGGTTAACTCTTTGCTTGTGCTCGCTCAGATGATCATGCCTTTCTGCAGAGACCCACGTTTTGGAGTCACTGGGAGCAGACACGCTCTGATTCCAGTGATCGAGGGCAGAGATGAGCCCTGCTGTTGATAAGACTGAAGAGCAAAGGTAATCTGAAGGGTTGTGTTGTTTTAATATCATTTTAAAAGCCTCACAGCAGCAGTGTGATTAACATACCCAAGTTTTATATTCAGTTTCTGTTTCTGTGATTAGGCAGTTTGCTCATATCTCAACTATATTTAAATATAGTTCCATTTATTTAAGAGTAATGTCTAACTTTCCCTGCTATGCACAGGCCCAGCTGGACCTTGACAGGTCCAAAAGAAGAAGTGATGGCAAAAAGAGATTACTTGGTGGAGGCGGCCAAGCAGATCCGCATGGCACTGGACAGTGAGGTGAATGAGGACTATGAGGCAGCTTTCAGTTACTACAAGAACGGCGTGGACCTGCTGCTAAATGGGGTTCAATGTAAGTGGAAAATATCTGGTCTCTTTTCTGCGTGACAGAGTGAATAGGGAACATGGAAATGCATGTTTGCACAAGACATGTGATGGGAAGATGTGAACGAGTATAAAAACAGGAAGTCATAAACCAAAGGTTAAGCACAGATTTGCTTGCTGGCCAAATATTTTAGGTGTGTGCTGCTGTTTTATAGATCAAAGGTACTTTGTGGCATTTAATATATTCCCAAAGCCAAGGTTTTACCTACTTTTACTGGTGTGAGACTGAGTTTAATTGTTTTGCAGTGGATCCGAACAAGGATCGTCGGGAGGCTGTGAAGAGGAAAACAACCCAGTATTTGAAGAGAGCAGAAGAAATCTTTATAACACATCTACAGGATAACCTGGGGAAAGGGAGCTCTCATTTAGGGGTAAGACAATCATCCTTTGCTGCTTTTAAGAGAAGAAAAAAAGGCATCTTGTTTGTTGATCTGTATGCAGGGTTGTAACATATTGTAGCTCAGCAGTCCTTGCTTGTACTCTTCTCAAAGGACAAAACATTTAGTGCCTACTATCACAAACCAAGTTTCAAATTCTTACTTGAGATCCGGTTGATTTCTGTGTCATCAGGGCTACAGCAGTCTGAGGTTCCGTCCAATCAGACACCTGAGTTCACCCGTGGAGGATCTGGAGATGTGTAAGGTTGTGGGTGTGGCTGACAAGGTATGAAAGACTTTTGTTTTAATTTTGATTTTTATTGTTTCTTTTGCCTTTTTGCACTCCTTGTAGCACACAGTGAAAGTGTCAATGATCAACTGCGCTCCAACCTTGAAACTTGCTGTAATAATTTACCCGCTTTTATGTGGAAGGCTAAAGGTGTTATTTCTCATTCTTAAGGTCCTAATTGTGCAAAGTATGGTCAACAAGGAGACATTTGTGGTAAAGGTGAGTGTGCGCTCTATAGTAGCCAGTTGATCAACAAAATTATACCTATAAAAACACATCCATTGGCCAACACGTGTCCACAGATAGTTGAGATGATTTGAGGGGAGGGTGGCTGTCTAGCAGCAACACCGTTGTTGTATTCTGTTGCAGGCTAGTCGATGCTGATTGTCTCCCAGAGTATCACTCCACATTAATCAAGGCTAAGAGCTCTCACCCTTTTAGCCAGTGCTAGTGCACCTCATATTTCAGTGTACAGATAGACATTGCAGCAGACAGGCACTTGGACCTACAGGGTCAATCCAAGCAGTGGTTAATCTACGCCTGAATGAGTAATAATGCACCTGCGTCTTTCTCATCTAGAAAATGCTAATTTATATATAACTATATGAGTCATGCTCATTATGTTCCAGAGCCTGGTTAAGTCTAGCTGGGAGAGCAGGGACCAGCCAACCATCATTCCTCAAGGGGTGCCATACATGGTTAAGCTGCTAAGATATTACGTCAGTGAGGATGCTGTGTATCTGCATTTGGAGCATGTCAAAGGTGAGCGTTTAACCACTGCTCTCACTGCTGCTGGAACAATGTGGATGGATTTTTGGTAACAGTAATGGAGTGTAATATAGAGGGTTTTTTTTCTTTTGTTTTGTTTGTTTTTTGCATTGCTCCTTCTCTGTAGGTGGGAGGCTTTTCTCCAAGCTGCATAAACTGAGGAACGAGAAGGCCAAGGAACACCCAGAATGCTTCGCTTCTCGCCATCATAACACCAAGCTGAAGACCAGCCGGACCTCACCTGCAATCAGCGCAGACTACCAGCAGAGCAGAAGTGCAGCGGTGATTCCTGAGAAACTAAACGACGAAAGCCCCGACGCAGACTTCCCTACCTCGTGGGATGAGACGCAGCAGCGACTGGAGAGCTGCGGGACTCACTCCTACATCGAAGAGACGGGTTGTCTGCAGAACACACGCTCGGCGGCGTCTTTTTACACCAAGCTTGATCGGCTCACTCTGCTGTCTGGCCCGACGAGGACACAGGTCAAAACTCACATCCATCCACCAGCTCCTAGTTTGTGTTTGCACTCCAGCGAAACTCAGGAAAAGCCAGCTCTTCCTCTCTCCTGCGCTCGTGTCAGTCAAGCTCTCGACGTCATGTCGGAGCTCCATAAAAAGAAACCTGGAATGGGGCTGATAGAGTGCAGCTCCGAATTCGAAGTGGCTTGGAAAGCTGCGGATCCAGTGCACAACTGTGAGAAAACAAACCCCTATGCACTGACTGACGCTGATTTATCCCTAGAACGAACTGCACCTCATACGAATCTGGACTCGTTTATTAAAGCAGGGTCACAAAACGGTGAAAATGTTTTGAGTTCTAGTCCTGCCATCTTGCATCTTCCTCTTCATTGCCAAACCCAGATCCATGGCAGGGCTTCATGGGATATGAATGGCTCTCCCCAGGGATCTGTTTTAGGTGTAAACTCAGCAGAATTGAACACAAAGCAGGAACGCAGCAGTCCCACTGTGGAAGAAAGAAATGGAATGGTAGTTATCAGAAGTACAGACAGAGTAGTATTTTCTGACCACAGAGATACACAGATCACCTCGGACAGTTCTTGGCCTTCCTCAGCTTCACTCTGCCTCAGTGTTACAGAAAAAAAGCACATGTTTTCCAGGGTTCCTTTGGCTTTTTCAGGGCTCAGTAATAAAGGGGAAGCCTGCTCAAGTGAGGCAAAAGAAGGAGTAGAGGAAGCCCGTGAGCTGCTAAGCCCTGGAGAGAAGCGTGCACCTACAACAAAGGGATCATCTGTAGGCTGGTTCTCCTCTGGCCCTCATGATGCCCCGCCCAACAGGAAGCGAGAGGATGTGGATGGTTTTATAAAACCAGAAAGACCAGATGGTGAAAGAGAAGACCAGATCATAGAGGTGGATGGGTGGTGCCATCTGCCTCGGTTCCCTATCAAGTCACCCGGGGCTGCAGATAAGGCCATGCAGACCTGTTGGGGGCTTCCTGAGAATGAAGTGCGCATCTGGGGGGCACAGATCTTGTTGGCCTTGGAGAGTTTGCATCAGCAAGGCATCCTGTGTCGGGATCTTAACCCTAGAAATGTTCTGCTCACTAGCAACGGTAAGGCTATCAAATCTAGCAACTGTCAAAGACCACATGATAAAAAACCCAATTTGTGCTGTATTTGAGTTTAATTTGCTATAATGTTTTCACAGGAAAGGTGTGTTTGACGTTCTTCAGCCAGTGGAGTGAGGTTCAGTCAGAGATCAGCTCCAAATCCATGGAACAGATGTACTGTGCTCCCGGTAAGACTTCACTCTAAGCTGGCACCCTTGCTTACTCCTTAGCATAAACTGCCACCTAGTGGCAATGTCCATTTGGTCCACTTTGTCCTGAACAAGAAGTTGGGTACTTCATGGTAAGTGGAGAGGTCTCTATATATCACTTTTCTACTCTTCTTATACAAAACACCTTCACACAAGGACATTTTTCTACATCTAAGTGCTCTCTGTCTACCATTCACACTGTGATCCAGCATCAGGACAAACTTAGAGGTTCAGTGTCGTGCCCAAAAATACTTTGCCACACAGCCTGGAGCAGCCAGGGATCAAACCACCAACGTTCCAATTAGGCAATTGGCCACTCTATTGGCTGAGCCACATTCACTCAGCTGTAGAGCCTTTTAAATTCATCTCAACCAACTCGACACATTGCAAGTGAATATAAAGCGATAACAAGAAACACACCTTCAGGAAACATCAGTGATACCTGAACTCAGCTCAGCTTGATGTTTGTTGACAGAAATTGGCGGAGTGTCCCGGATCACAGAGTCTTGCGATTGGTGGAGTCTTGGGGCTTTGCTGTTCGAACTTCTTACAGGAATGGTAAGCTAAACGCTCTCCAAGCATATTAATAATGTAATAGTCTGCAACTTTTGAATTTTGTAAGTTTTGTACCATCCCTGCAAAATATTGGTTCTGACTCTCCCGCAGCCTTTGTGGCAGCTCCACCCAGCAGGAATCCACTCCCACACTCAGCTGCTCATCCCCGACCACCTGAGCACCGCGGCCGCTTCTCTGCTTACCGAGGTTAGAGTTAAGGGTTGAAAGATCTGCAAGGCTTTTGTTATAAAGAGTGTATTCAAAAAGTTTTAAACTGTGTTTCTACTCATTTTCACTTACAGTTGCTCCAGTTCGATGCTGGTTATCGCCTTGGCTCTGGAGGTGGGGGTGTAAGTGACATCAAATGTCATCCCTTCTTCAATGGAGTTTCCTGGAAGGCTCTGAGCTGCTAGCAGGAGATGATCCCTGTGTGTTACACTGGACTTGAAACACTGGGCTGAATCCGAGCATCCTAACGTGGCCCTAACAGTTGTAGCACCGCATACTGGTTTCATTTGAATTTTGTGCTTCCCAAAGAAATATGACAAAATAAAAACTGAAACAAAAATGGTGAACTGTCACATGGACAGTGAAACAAGATGGATTATTTTAAACCCTTGAGATGTAACTTAATATATATTTGATGTAATTTTGATAGTTTTACAAGTTCAGTATCACCGTGCATGAAAACCGATGCCAACTAAACCTAACATGTGACAATTGAAAAAATTACTAATTTTGGACTACTTGATGTAGAAAAACAATAATGAAGAATGAATAAATAGGCAATAAATTGTTACATCTTCTTTGAACATCCCTTCCTGTTATAAAGCCTTTGTCATTTTGGGTTATCATTCATAAATAGGCCATTACTACGTCCAAAGATTGGCACAATTTTAAGTTTTGGTTTATTCAAATGAATTTTAAACTTTTTCAAATATGATTACATATAAAGTAGCCATTTGTGAAGTGGGACTCCCCAAAAGATATGCAGGGCTCATAACCAGGGACCCAAAACACCAGCAAATACTTGCATAATACCTAAAAT